AGTAACACACTACGACAACAGGGAATCAAATCTTGCAGTGCCAGACGTGTCCCCCTACTGAAGCCAGTGCATGTCAAGGCCCGTCTGAAGTTTGCCAGAGAGCACATGGATGATACAGCAGAGGATTGGGAGAATGTCATATGGTCAGAAGAAACCAAAGTAGAACTGTTTGGTATAAACTCAACTCATCGTGTTTGGAGGAAGAAGAATACCGAGTTGCATCCCAAGAACACCATACCTACCGTGAAGCATGGGGATGGAAATGTTATGCTTTGGGGCTGTTTTTCTGCTAAGGGGACAGGACAACTGATCCATGTTAAGGAAAGAATGAATGGGGCCATGCATCGTGAGATTTTGAGCCAAAACTTCCTTCCATCAGTGAGAGCTTTGAAGATGAAAGGTGGCTGGGTCTTACAGCATGACAATGATCCCAAACACACCGCATGGGCTACACAGGATTAAGAAGCATTTGAAAGTCCTGGAGTGGCCTAGCCAGTCTCCAGACCTCAACCCCATTGAAAATCTGTGGAGGGAGTTGAAAGTCCGTGTTGCTCGTCGACAGCCCAAAAACATCACTGCTCTCAAGAAGATCTGCATGGAGGAATGGGCCAAAATACCAGCTACTGTGTGTGCAAACCTGGTAAAGACCTATAGTAATCGTTTGCCCTCTGTTATTGCCAACTTAGTTTATATTACAAAGTATTAAGTTGAATTTTTGTTATTGACCAAATACTTATTTTCCACCATAATTTACAAATAAATTCTTTAAAAATCCTACAATATAAATTCCTGGATTGTTTTTTCATATTCTGTCTTTCACAGTTGAAGTGTACCTATGATGAAAATTACAGACATATTACAGTCATCATTTTAAGTGGGAGAACTTGCACAATCGGTGGCTGACTAAAAACTTTTTTGCCCCACTGTAAGTGATGTGATTTGAAGAGTGGGACAGGAGGTGTGATGGCTGCAACATCCCAACTGTTTGACTGTAAGGGGAGAATTGAGGGTTTACTCCAGTTGATTAAATATTGTGAGAGTTTGGAAAATTATTCAATGAGGTTTATTGTGTGGTGTAATGATGAAGGTGGGTTTTGTGGAAAGAGGAGGATATCATCTGCATACAGGCTGATGTTGGATTCCTTTGATTTGGTTATTTTGGCGAATTGCTGCTGCAAGTGGTTCTAAGAAGATTAGAAATAAAGATGGAGAGAGTGGGCATCCTTGGCAGTTTCCGCGGTGAAAAGTGAAGGGACGTGAAGTTCTACCGTTGGTGATGACAGTGGCAGTAGGTGAGGTGTAAAGCATTTTTATCCAATTGACAATAGACCCCCCGAAGACAAATCTCTCTAGTGCGGTAAACAGGAAGGTCCAGTCGACCCTATCGAAAGCCTTCTCTGCGTCTAGGGTTGCTATGATGGTTTTTTCCTGTTGTAGAGTTGACCAGTGAATTAAATTGAACAGCCTGCGAGTATTGTCTGATGAGTGTCGTCCTTTAATGAAGCCAGTTTGGTCGGGATGAATGATTGTTGGGATTACTTTTTCTAGTCGGAGGGCGAGGGTTTTTGCTATGATTTTTGTTTCGACATTGATAAGAGAGATGGGCCTGTAACTGGAGGGAAATGTAGGGTCTTTATTGGGCTTGAGGATGAGGGAGATTGTGGCAGAGTTCATGTGGGTTGGCAGCTTACTGATCTGTTCTGATTCCTGTAGCATACGCATGAATAGCGGGGAGAGTGTGGGCCAAAAATGTTTGTAGAACTCAGCAGGGAAGCCGTTGGGTCCAGGGGATTTATTGTTGATAGTGTTTAGAAATGTGTGGATATTGTTTATATTTGGGTCAGAGTCAGAGGAATACAGAATAATTGGACAGTTTGAAAAGTGTTGGAATTGTGCAAAAAAGGTTTGAAAAAATATTGGGTCATCTGTGTTTGGGCCATAAACGTTACCGATTTGTTGATGGAGATGTTTATTTTTATGTAGCGCCCCTCTGGGTCTGCTATAGTACCGTGATGGGTAAATGTTTTTTTTTTTTATGGATTAGTATACAGACCCCTCTCTGTTTGCTATTGATATGAGCTGAGAATAATTGGTTATACTGTGGGGATTTTATATTGTTGAAGGTTGAGTTTGTAGCATGTGTTTCTTGTAGAAGGTAAATGTCAGCTTTAAGCTTGGATAAATGGTCTAAGATTTTAGTTTTTTTCCTCTGATTACCTAAACCCCTGATGTTCCATGACACTAATTTGACAGTTCCCATTCTACATTCTGTTATAATTATATGGGTGGTATGTTGGGTTTGTGTGAGCGTATGTGTGCGTGCGTGTGTTTGTAAGTGTGTTGACTTTGATGAGGAGCCTCATGTATGGGCAGTGTATCCACCAGGAATTTATTTGAGGGGTGGACCAGAAAAACAAAAAAATTTTACACACGTTAATTGCGGTGATTTTTGTTAATTCTTGTCAGGAGTTTGTAAAACACCTGCGGCGCAGAGGCGCGAAGCAGGAGCCGTACTTCTGGGCGGAGCCAGTGCAGAGCCTAGCCAGAGGTCTTCAGAGATCAGAGAAATATTTGGTACTGGCTCACCCAGCTTCAGAGGAGGAAGACACGCAGGTATCCAGTGAAGCAGACACAAACACTATTAGTGACAGGAGTCTGCGGCATAATAGTCCACAGTCAGCCACAGTTTACGTCCTCCGTGTGGCCACCGCGGTAAAGAGGTCCGGCTTTTCGGAGTCAGCGGTAAAGAGGTCCGCACATTAATGGCCATATGGCCACTGACCAGTGCTAAAATATAATATATACATTGGATCAGTGAATCTCAAACTACAGCTTTTTGAAATCTTTCTACAATAATTTACATTATCCAAAATGGCCGCCACCTTGTTGACGTCACAATATGCAAGTTAGATGACGAGTCAACATCCATCCCAAAGTTTGGTTCATACTGAAGATATTTCTCATTGACATAATGCCTTCATCTCAAACCACATGTATATATTTGTTGACTGGTATTGAAGCATTTCCAGCATCTACAGCCAGTTATGCTAGTTAAGAAACATAGCTACTCCGTATTTTGTATATATTGTGTGATCCCTTCGTGCTCTTACTACTGTCCTGTATGTGCGCTGCAACATCGAAATTTCCCCACTGTGGGACAAATAAAGGAACTCTTATCTTATCTTATCTTAAAGTTATAGCCTTTTGAAATCTTAAAATAAAAATTGTAAATCTTCTTGAAAAATATGGGCTTAGTGCTGCGTGAAAATCACTCTTCAATGGCCTAGGCTCCGCACCATGCTCCTCTTTGCCGTCATCGTTGCAACATGTCCAGAAGTTCAACTTTTTAGCACTAACCATGTTATGGGTTTAGTCCATGTTTTTGTCTAGGAAAAAAATTGCATACAGCACTTACAGTCACACTGCTAGCAATCAGACATTGATTTATAGGTGTCAAGCTGAATACTGTGATGTACAGGAAACATGGCACTGAGATTGCCCCTTAGCCAATCAGGACGCAGAACACAATACGCTGGTTGTTCCTTAGCCAATCAGGATGAACATCGCAAGTTCATTTACAGTGAAAATAATGCTAAAAATAAATCTGCAAGACAGCGAAAAGTGAACCGCTATTCAGCTGAGGAGACTCCAATTCAGAATAAAAAATAACGTCCGTACAGGAAAAATGTGTTTCTATTTTGGTGTTTGTACTTTGTGTAATTTTTTTACTATCATACTACATGTTTTAGATTATAGATTAGATAGTATGCCAGATCAGATGTATCCCAATGAAAATAATGTTAAGCACTTTTTGGTGTGAGAATTATATACATGCACCTAAAAAAAAAATTGAGGGGAGATACCGGGGGACTGATCCCCCCCATCCCCCCCTCTAGAGGAAACCCTCATGTGTGAGTCATTGAAAGCGTTTGCAGTGAGAACAATAAACAAATAACAATTCGGTAGCTCGGGACTTGAGTTCAAAGTCATAGGTGAAGGCAATTGGGAGGTTTACCCTCCCCCCGTGGCCGCAAAAGAGAAAATCTTAAGAAATATTAAGAAATAATAAGAGTGGGGAGAAACAAAATAATAATAGCAATAATATTATAAATAATAATAATAATTCTAAAAAAAAAAAAAACGATGTGGCTAAGGATTCATATTAGGGAGGGAAGACAGGAAAGTGAATAATTGTGTAACAAAAGAAATAATTAGATCATTACAAAATACGACAACTGGAGTTGTTCTGATGACGTCGTCTTTGTGGGACAGTGTTTACATTGGTTAGTTCTGGAGTGTTGGTGCAGCGTGCGCGCTGTTGCCACCGGTGAACCAATAAGTTATTTGAGAGTCACGCTAAAGTGTACTTTCGATGGAGAGTTTATCCACCGATAGCCTGACCTTCTTTCCAGCGGATCTTGCCTCAAAGAAAGCCGGCTGAAGCAGCTTGCGCCTCCGCATGATCTCCAGGGGAAACTGGTCGCTTAGGGCAAGCTTCGATCCCTTGAGCTATTTAGCATTTCCCATGATCATGGCATAATTTTGCTGATAGTTTGAAATGCGATTAATTATGATTAATACATTTTAAAGCTGTAATTAACTCGATTAAAAAAAAGTAATCGTTTGACAGCCCTAAACGATTAACATTTTTAATCGAGTTAATTACAGCTTTAAAATTAATTAATCGTAATCAATCTCATTTCAAAACTATTGGCAAAATGATGGCCATGTTACGCTGTTGAAAGCCGCTCTCTGCTGGGCGCGGGAACCGCTGTCCAAAGCGGCCGCAGCTGCCCCAGAACGCTGCGGACTCCCATTCACAGCAATTGCCCCGCGGTCACGTGCGCGCGGTGCCAGTCATTTGGCACATGCGTTAAAAGCGTTGATTTTTTAACGCAATTAATGAAAACAATTAACTAACGTGCGTTAACGCAATAATTTTGACAGCCCTAAGTAAAAAACAGGCACGTGAAATATAAGTGAAATATTATCGTACTTACTCTGGTAAACTGTGAATTTGTTTGTAAACATTGACCACTTCCTGGATGCTGCGTTCCACTTTTTTCTGTGAATTGGACAAAACTGTCAAACAGACACTGATGCTACATCCACAATAAAACCTCTTTAGGGTTACAAGATATTGAACTTTTTATCATTAGCATCGAATGATCAAAATTGGACGTAAATAATAAACCTCTGACCAGATTCAAGCCCCACCTCAAACCCTATCCCTTTACATAAACCCTGTCCCAATTCTCAACCTAGCCCTTATTTTGAACCCTTGTCCTAGATTTTCCGCGTGCCCTCGGGGGGTGTAGGGTGTCCCAATACTTGGGGAGCAACGGCGAGTGCACTCACACCCTTAAAAAGGCCCCTTGCGCGCAAGTAATCTCCGGAGCACACTTGCACACAAGGGTGATCCCATGAGGCATTAAAGGTAAAGGTGCACTTTATTAATCCCCGTAGGGCAATTCAATCCTCTGCATTTGACCCATTCTGATGCCGCAAAGGCTTACATCAGGAGCAGTGGTTGCCGTAGTACAGCGCCCGGGAACCCATCTCCAGATGTTGATGCTTGGCTTGGTCAGGACTACCAGCGCTGGAGTGAGCATGTTTTTAGTGGTAAGGGAAAATAGAGTACCCGGAGGAAACCTATGCAGGCACGGGGAGAACATGCAAACTCCACTCAGAAAGACCCTTTTCCGACCGGGATTTGAACCCAGGACCTTCTTGCTGAGAGGCGAGAGTGCTGTCCTCTCAGCCACCGTGTCGCCCCTAGGTTGGTAGGAGCTGTTGGGTAAAGCCCTGCCATTATGAAAAACGGGCGCATGTAAATGCTGAACATCACAGCAGCTTATGCGAGTAATTTGAAGGTTTTTTCTAATCGTGTGTTGGTGCCATATGTGGTGATGCTCGCAAAGTGGCCGCGCCATGTGACATTCATTGAGGCACTTCAGAGACATGGGTGCATTGTTATTATTATAGATCCATAATGTAGTTCAGAGAGTGCATCGCTTTGACTGTTTGCTTTGTGATCCACGGCTGTGTCCGTCTCTGTGTGAGTACGTGTGTGTCTGTCTCTGTGCGCAGTCATGTATCTAATTATAGCTAATCTTCATATGAAATACAATTATAAAACGTCTCACTTTAATAAATACTTTGTTTCATACATTTTATCTTATCTGTGGCTAAATCATCCACGCCAAAGTTGCATGTGACGTTTGAAGCGTCGATTTGCAAATATAGGGGTGTCCGATTTCTTAGGGGAACTCCCCTATTGGAGGGAACTTTTCTGTTGAGGGCACTCATAACTCAAGTGCCCTCAGAATTGGGACAGGCCCCTAGTCATCTGGCTACAAAGTGAGCAGACAAAACATGCATTGTTTCCAGGGCCATGATGGTAAGATTCTGCTCCCAGTGATATATGTTAAATAGACACAACAATGTCGATCACATAATCGACAAGAACCTCATTGCTCTGCCCTGAGTGTGCAAAGTAAGCAAATCAGTGAGATATGATGGAGCCAGGTTGTGCAGTGATTTAAATATTAACAATAACATTTTAAACTTAACTCCAAAAGCGACAGGAGACGACAGCACAGGAGTAATGTGCTCGTGTTGTCTGGTGCCAGTCAGCATCGTCAAGGGCAAAGTCCAGAGAGTTACAATAGTCCAGCCATGTGGATATAAGGGCGTGGACAACCTTCTCAAGGTAATTTGGTGGAAGATAGCGCTTAACCTTGGTCAAAACTCTAAATTGGAAGAAGCTGGCTTTGACAACAGTACTTATTAGTTTGTCCATTTTAAAAGCACCATCAAAATACATACCAAGATTTTTTGCATATGGGCAGCAGTAAGAGGACAGGCTACACACACCATCGAAAACAGAGAGGTCAGGTTCACCAAACGATACAATTTCTGTTTTCTTGTCATTCAAGTTTGAGAAATTGATAGAAATCCAGTCTGACTCCAATGTGAACGACGTCAAATTTAAACCTAATGACAGATACGGATAATAATAACAATAATAATACTTATATCTGTTATGATCTAGCGCAGATTCAAAGGGTTGAAGTTAGCATTAGCCCCTAGCTGCTAGAGATAATCTCGGCTCTCACCTGCTCCACCGAAGAAACCGTCTCTACACCGTCGTCCACGAACTTTTCCTCGGGCTGACAGTCTCTGAAGCACCGGAGTGAGCTACCTCCGGCTTCCATGCTGAGAGCGGTGCACTGAGCAGCGATGATGTTGGAGGAAAGGCGTGATGCTCGGGTTTGTTGTGGTCCTCTGCTGCTCACACTTCTTCAGCCCCTGTTTGTTTACTTCCGGGTGAGGAGACAGTGGGTGGGGCTACGCCGTCTTCAAGGGAACAAGGAAAGTTTTGAATATATATATATTTGTTTTATATATTATACAATAGTCTTATTATCCACTTAAAACATATTAAATGACATACGCACTACATCATATTTTCGTTTGTTTTTATTATATATGCGGTTTTCAAAAAACATTTTTAAGCGATATAAATATCCCACAAGTCTTTCCTTTCAAAATAAAGTCTGGTATTTTATGGTATGTACTTTAATTGGACAGTGAACAATTAACGATTACATAGAAGAGACGTATTGGGCAGGCTGATGTTTTAGATTCATATAAACTGATTCGAATGTAGATGGTTACATGACTGTGTCTCACTTACATACTTTAAAGATCAACTAAACACCAGTGCCCAGCCTGACTCCGCCCACATGAACATTTGAAAATTCTCCCCAAAATGGGCGTTGCCCAGGAGGACCAAGGGACAAGAAGGGGGGCTTAGAGTTGGGCGTGGCGTGGGCTTTGATTGACGGCTCTCTTGTAACTATGGAGAGTGACAGTGACAGCAGCTTCGCGACCGAGCGCTCTTTTGAGGTGGAGGACTTTTCTCCGCCTTCATCACCAGAGGTGGAAGTGGAGGAGGTTAATGTGGAGGAGTCCGGCGGCCCTGAGCCGTACATGTTTGAGCCGATGGCCACCGGTGCAGCTAGCACTGACGAGCCTTCCGAGGCATCAGTGCAGAACAGAATGGGTCCCGTTACTGAATGGTACATTGGTGTTAGATTTATTGCTAATATTTTTATTTGATGTAGAACAAAAGAGATGGATATTGTGGTTAGGGTTACACACACATGACTCTGCATCAACAGGTGTTTGTGTGGAAACTGCACATCATTATCCCCAGAAGAGAACGTGTGCTGTAGGGAGACACCAAAGGTACAATAGAATAAAATTAAATAAGACATAATTATACAAATCATATTTTCCTCATTAAGTTCCCTATTTGTGGTAGGTAATGCACAGATGTCAGCAGGTGGGTGTAAACACCTGCATTACGGAGCACCCGGGGTTTGAGGCAGTTGCCCTCAACCCATATGTGCTGCAGGCAGTGTATGGCACATACTTACAGCTCTTTGGTGACATGCCAGAGACGATGGTGCACAGGTTAGTTTTTGCAGGATAATTGATTAACAATTAGGTGGTTGACAACCCATACATCTCTTCTTTCAGTAATTACCGGCACCTTGCGTACCGGAATGTGGTCAGGTGGTGTTGGGGTTACCTAGGCCAGCATATCAGAGTCGTGATCCCGTCCTGTGCTGTGACCCGTATCAGGCTGGAGTTCCCTGATTATGTGGCTTACACGGGGTTCCTCCCTGTCCTGAATTTTCATGGCCAATAAACATCAATATAAACACAAATGCCATTCTGAAATTTTTTATTGCTTGTCTTAATTTTTTTCCTTCAGATCTTATAACGTGCATATTTGTACATACAATAAGCATCCAAATATAGATTGGTGCACCAGTGGAAAAAATATATTAACAAATATACAATATACTTTGTCATATTTATTTATACATTGAGCATTTAAACCAAGATTGTACAGTATCTAAATGCAAACATAGATAATTTAAGTTTTTGGATGTTGAATGTGGGAATGTTCACAAGCCACTGACATTTATCTCACAACACACCAGTTGATAATAAAGCCTAACAAATACTGATGGATAATGGACTGAGAGCAAGTTTAGGCACTGTCACAGCAAAAGCATGAACGCCACACTCCCTGGACCCAGTGTCAGGTGACATCACAGCTAAAGGCCTATAGGATTATATAGTAATGAGGAAGTGTTGGTCTTGTACAGAGAGATCATGGACCCAGTGACTGATTATGTTTGAAATTATATTGATTATTTTTTAGATATGACTTTTGAAAGTAATGCTGTTTATAGGAAATACCCACTAGACCCTGTGACAATCACATTTCAGAACCTGAAAGCAACCAATTCCCCAAAAAAATCACTTTACCCCTACATTACTAACAAATCTATATTCACAATCTACACTTGTATACATTTTGCGGCTACAGTGGTGCAGAGTAGAGCTGGTCATCTTGTGATTGGAGAATTGGCGGCTCAAATCACGCAGGTGCACACTGTCCTTGGGCAAGACACTTCACCCTCTTTGCCTCCATTGTCTGCATTCACTGGTGTATGGATTGGTGACTGGTTCCTCGATGTAAAGTTCTTAAAGAAAGTAGAAAAGGTGCTATATAAATGTGACAATTTGCATTCAATATGTATCTAGTGTGCAATACAGCAATTAAATGTATTACGAAAATTGATCAACACTACATTATCATCAATGTTGGCGGTACCTGAGAGTGAGGTCCATCCTGTCTTCCCACACCTCTGGTTCATAGTTAGATATGTGTCCTGGCTGACTCATGTCTGCTTTCTGAAAATATTTTAGTTCTTATTGGGCATGCAGGCATGTCAGAAAAAAGCTATAATAGAACGATGATAATCTTGCATAGTGTTCAGTGAATAAACATATGAACAATAGAATGTGTACATTATAACACTATCAGTCATGCAAAATAAGTTAGTGACCCCATATATTTATATTCTGGATATTCTTGTTGTATGTGATCTTCTGGTGTTTGTTTTTCACCTTATTTGCTCTTGAAAAATCGTGACCTGTGCCTGCTCACTGCCTCCTTTTTGTCAGGCCTTTCATACTGGCCACAGAGTGGTTCAGGCACATGTATTTTGTCCGAGTGCTCTTGATACGGCACTGTATCCTGCACCACACACTCGAACAGCAGACTCATCAGCTTATCAATGTAGACTGGGGAAAAAATACAACATAAATATTATAACAGCCCTCATTCATAACAGTCAAGTTTCTTTCATGACATACATGTGGTGAATTTGGTCTTCAGAGCTCTCACAGTATAGTCGCCATGTTTATATTTAGGATACACTATGGAGTACCTCAGCTCACCAGCAGCAGTTCTGGCGTGTGTGCGTGTCGCGTTCTCATTATAGTGCAACGCTGAGATTTGTAACCTAGAACAATCAAAACAAAAATAAGAAAACAGTGATGTTATTTGGTTCAGTTTCAAAAAAATATATAATGAGGGAATAGAAATAAATACTTTTACAAGGTTTTAGTATTCATTACCTGGCCATCATTCCTTTAAAGGAGAAGCACACACTTTTCGGAGAGAACCTGATGATGAGGCTGTGAAATGCCTCAATGTAGGACGTGTGGTAAAGTGGGCTGATTTTCTCCACGTCCTTCAGAAACCTCGGCGCCAGTAAAATGGCCGTTAGTCTTTCGCATGCTGCTGTGCCTACACACAAAATGATCAATGGAAATGTATTTTGGATTAGAAAGAAAATGCAAAATGTCCAAGATAACTAAATATATAATCAAAGAAAAACTGTCATTACTAACTTGGCTTGAGCCACTCCCTTGCTCTTTCCCCAACCAGTGGCTCGTGTTGGCAGCAGGGGAACAGGGCATTATCATGCGCGTGAATATTTTGTATGTGGTTGGCTACAGAGGTCCACTTGGCCACAGCTTCTTCTCCTGAGGAGGAAGTAGAGGCTGACCAGTAGAGGTGATTCACCACGCTCTTCCTCCATTGGCCCACATCCTGAGTGATCTTTTTCTTTGCCAGTCCATCTATTTTCTTCCCCATTCCTATGACATTTTTTTTATTACATGGATTAGATCTATATTATCTGTTAATTATACGCTAAATACATACCCTTTCCCATGTGCCAAGGGTCAAAATAGTGAGTGATGTCTTTTTTTTCCTCCCTTAGGTACTTCTGCACTCCTGTGTGTCTGTCCGTCACAATTGCCTGTACTTTCACACCCTTCTCTTCCAGCATGGTCAGACTGCGTATAAATCCTTCCTTCTCCATCCTTACACTGTTCCCAACTTCACTGCTCTGAAATACAACAGAATTATCTACATAAATGCGCCAAATGATTCCCAATTAATTGTTCAAATGTAAACATGGTGGTGTTTTACCTGGATAAGTTGGATGTCAATGACGCTGTTACTTTGCAGATTCATCATGGTGTAACTACCGTATTTAGCTGAATGTCCTGTAGAAATGCACATTACACTTGGCAAACTATTATTTAAAACATAAAAATCTTTGTTTATAAAGAAAAGATTTACCTGGAGAGTCAGCACGCATATCCCCACCCAGTGTCAAAGGCCCACCAGTAGCTGCCTCCCTGATTTTTTCGTCCTGCTCAAGCTTCCACTGCCAGCTGACCATCGGGATGAGGAGCTTGGCCTGATGCTTGTAAAAAGTTTGCTCTGACAGTCCTTGAATGTTGAAAGCCCTCAGGAACTATGCAATATAAAGTAATATTACCAACTGACTGTTATGGAAACATTGTCAATAACAGTCAGTTGGTAATGTTTCCATAACAGTCAGTTGGTAATATTACCAACTGACTGTTATGGAAACATTGTCAATACAGATAAGACGATTTATATACCTTGGAAATCTGACCAAAACACGAGCCAGTGAAGAGGACAGCAGCACAAAGCTGAAGATTTCCAGCTGGTATATCCTTCACCATGGGCTGACTGGACCAGTCATTGAAGTACTCACATGCTGGACACTGCTGTTTCACTCGGAGGAGTGTGCCCAATGTGGTTGTCTCAACTGTACAACGACGAGTGCAGACAGGACATTTTTGAAAGAGCGACAGCAGTTGGTCCTCATGAACAATGTACTTTCTGGCTTTGTGTGGAGGGACTTCCGTTGTAGCGCTATTATGTAGGAAGAGGCAAATGTAACCATTTAAGAGAATACAATATTTTCCAAGGTATATTTTTAAATAATACACAAGCATTCTTTTCCCCCATACATTTTTACCTTGAACAGTTCAGAGAACTGTCGTTCAGATGGAAGCTGGGGTCAGATGCAGACACCTCACACTTTTTTCTTTTCAAGGGTGTAGAGGCTGCAAGGGGACTTTCAGGAAGTGGGATTCCCATGAAGGTCCCTGTATCACAGGAAACGCTGACGCTCTTATGTGGAGCCTGCACCTGCAAGCCTGTTTAAAAGAACACAGATAAACACATTATTAATAGCACTCATAAATGGTTACATTAGCATCTAACAGCGAATCCAAAGTAAAATTAAACTCTTGTACTAGTGAATAATACAGACTGTTATAAAAGACAAATAACCTTTGCTGCGCCTGCTGGGCTTAACATTGGCCTGGACACAAGCGTGCCTGCTGATGATTGGATCCGTCTGACAGGCCATTTCTCTGGTTGCTTTAGGCTGAAAACATAAGTAATAATATTAGTAATAAGTAATAGTAGTAAGGGAGGAAAGACTTATTTGTATAGTGGTATAGTAAGACTAATTTCTACAGTGTGGATGTTTCTTTGTAGTTTTGATCAGAGTAGTTTATGATCCCAGAACTACCTTGAAGCTTGTGCGCCAAGACCCACGTCTATTGTACATCTATTAAACAGGCTTTCTGCTAAATATTATGGTACATGACATGTGGAGTATTGGGGTAATATGTTACCTGGCTAGGACCTATTGTGAGTGCTTATTGATACGACGGAGATGAGGTCACGTGCGCTATAAAAATGTCCTAGCCAGGTAATAACAGGGCATAACAAAACAAAACATCCATATAAATCCCCTTACATTAGCACACCTACGTGGACGTGAGGAAGATAAAAACAAACGCAAGTGACAGTCATGTCCTGGAGATCGCGTTGTTACAGCATAAACTCGTTACAAAAGCTAGCCCCTTCGCTAACACACTGGACAACCAAACCATGTAAGGTAATATACCGCGCTAACTACAGCGGACCTGCACAGTTTCCTCTCGGTCACAAGTCTACAGTCCGTCACCAAATGTCTCCAACAAAGACACAACATTATTAGGCCCGAGCCCCGAACGGGGTAAGGGCCTATTGCTTTCACAATGGTGAAAACAAATGGTGGCGGTGCGTGACGGACGCGTCAGCGCCCGTCACTCACCAAAATGTGACGGTTGCGTGCGTAAACTCAAAAGCTTTAAAATGATGTATCACATGCCATTGAAACCTATATTGTTTTTGCTCGAGACGTTAAAAAAAAAATTCCTTTTTTATTTATTAGGCCCGAGCCCCGAACGGGGTAAGGGCCTATTGCTTTCACAATGGTGAAAACAAATGGTGGCGGTGCGTGACGGACGCGTCAGCGCCCGTCACTCACCAAAACGTGACAGTTGCGTGCGTAAACTCAAAAGCTTTAAAATGATGTATCAGGTGCCATTGAAACCTATATTGTTTTTGCTCGAGA